TCGAGTATAATGTATCCAACTTCGTTTGCTCTATCCGATCAAATCGAAACATTGCTGATTCTTTACTGAGAATATGGAAGAATCGGTAGGAACTGGTGGAAATCTCAGGTTTTTGAAATTTTTGAGTCAGTTCCTACCGATTCTTCCATATTCTCAGTAAAGAATCAGCAATGTTTCGATTTGATCGGATAGAGCAAACGAAGTTGGATACATTATACTCGAAGGATCGGTAGGAATCGGTCGTTCTTAACATTGCAAATGAGGCATTTCTATCGCCTAAAAACAGGAACTGGTGCATCCCTGCTTCTAACTGAAAGAAAGAAATCAATGATCGGCTATAAAGGTTATCTTTACATCGTCGAAAAAGCCAAAGACGACAAAGTTCTTTTTCGATGTAAAAACCGTGATTGTAAAGGTCAATTAAACAAAAGGATCTTATACACTAACTTGCTCCTTTAATTAGGTCNCGGTAGGAATCGGTCGTTCTTAACATTGCAAATGAGTAATTTCAATCGCCTAAAAACAGGAACTGGTGCATGCCTAGTTAGAAGTCTTTCGATTTCACTCATTGCTTTCACGTAATCAAGTATATCGATATGGTTTTGTTTATGAATTTGTTCTGTTTTTAGAATCATTTTATATTTTATGCGAAGATTAATTGGTTTTTCTTGGTCTTTTCAGAATACTTTTAGAGGATTGGTTTTTGCCATCAACAGGTAACACAATCATTCACCTAACAATACTTTATTCATTAATTGAAGTACAAATTCAGTCAATCCAATTAAGAAAAATACAAACTCATGTATAATAATTAGCTGACGACGAATTGTCCTAGTGCCAATGGTTATCTCCTTTACGGACTGTTTTACTATTTGGTTCATTTTACGTCTTTTGTTATTGACATACCTTCTACTTTTTCCACATTTTTTCACTATGAGTAAAACTGTTCCGTCTATCACTACATGAAAAAATTTAAATCGTAAAATGGTACTGTGACAACATTTATGTATTCATCAATTAATCCTTTCAAGCACAAATACTGGGTGTACCAATAGTTTTGCGACAGGTGTTATGGGATGGATANTCTTTCTCTCGTCGTTTATCAATAAACGTTGTTACGAAGATCTCGATCACGTCACTCATTCCTCGAACTCCGAAGTAGGACAACCACATACTAACGGAATCGATACAGATCATCAGCCTTTTCCGTTACCTTCCGTCCCGCCTATTAACGTCTAGTGGGCAGGAGTCTTTGGATTGTAGGGAAATAGCTAACAATTGGTGGAGAAGTTGGGCAACTTTATTCGATCTGTATCAGTTCCACTAACCCTTTCCATTTCGATTTTTTTTTTCTTTTCTCTTTCTACCTATTTTTCTTTTTACGTAGAATCTACGTGCTTTTTCCGTTTGTTTCTAAATCGCTAAGTATTCATATTATGTCTAACGATACGCAAACCGTTCAACCGAATCAGTTTGAAACGATCGACGAAAAATCATCCGACGAACAATCCGAAGATCAATTGAATACCAATGATCAACCTGTAAACGCCACACGCCGTCAAGCGAGACTACACTCTCCTTTTCCGCCTACTTCTATGCCAGCAAATATAAATCTGGCACCTGAATCAGTTGTTGATGAAGAGGAAGATGAAAATCGTTTTGATGTATTCATTTTGCATAATTTTCGGACATTCTCAGGAACAGAAGACGTAGTTAGTTGGTTAGATGAAACCGATAAGAAATTCAATAAGCTTAAGATATCACGTAATCTTCGATATAAGGCCATCCCACTACTAGTAGAGGATAGTGCCAAACGGACATACTTGTTGAATAAATCTAACATAAAAACCTTTGATGATTTTTATGAGTGCCTTTTGTCTAAATTTTCTAAAATTGAGCAAAGTGAACGCCATCAACCAGCTCTCTCGCTCTCATGCTCATCTCATAATACCAATCCTTCACGTTTACCCAATATGCCAAAAAACTTGTCTTTTAATGATACACAACTAGGCGCTACACATCAGTTTGATGATTCAGATAGCTTACCGCCGCGCCCTATTTTGCGGTCGACTGCAATCGCAGATAAGGGAGCCACCAGTTTACGGGGTGATGATTCTGCCTTCAGTGGAGCATTTCAGTCTTCCAATCTTTCTCAGACCGCCTGTAGTCTCGATCAAACGGTATATGTTATACATAAAGCTATAATTGATAATTTGATAAAAAATCCGAAGATCTTTCAAGGAGGCAAAGATGATGTAAAACAATGGCTGGAAGATATTGAACAACTTTTTGACACGGCGCAAATTCCTGATAGTCATAAGCTCGATCTCATTACATACTCATTACGAGGTGAAGCCCGCCGCTGGTATAAGAATACTAAATCGTCTCTAACGTCTTGGGCAGTTTTCGTTCAGGAAATTAAAGAGGCATTTCTTTCTCCGTTTCATGAGGAATTAGCGTTCAAAAAGCTTGAGTCATATACTCAAGGAGCTAATCAACCAGTGCGTAGTTTTTACAACGAGGTACTTAAGCTATGTATCGAAACGGATCCGGAGATGAGTGAGTCAATGAAACTACGTCATCTTCTAAAAAAAGCGAAATCTACGCTTCAGTATGAAATTCGAAAACGAAAACCGACTACAACTAAACAGTTCCTTGAGTACGCCAAGGAAGCTGAAGAACTTTTACAATTATCTAACATTGACACTGACACAGATACGTATGAGCATAAGAACGGTAACCCGACTCATTCAGTAGACATCGTACGCAACAGTGTATTCCGTTCGCCGGATGACGTCACAGGTTATCCCTCCTATGATCGTAGTCGCCACTATGATAATACTCGCACGCGCAACCGATACTATAACAATCAAGGTCGCAACAATAACTTCCGTTCCCCTCAATCAGGCAATTCCACCAGACCTGTCAACTTTTTCAATTCATCCTTACAGCGTAACAATTCTACATATCCTCCCAATCACTCGATGAACAATACCTTCCAGGTTCCTTCAGGAACCTCCCACAATAGTAACGCTCATTTCCGTCCGTACTCCCCTAATACCTATTCCAATTCAACCTATTCTTCGAATAGTAGTGCCAGCCCTGCCACCCAGAACCCAAATCGAGCACCTCCTATCAATCACATTTCTGCCACACACAATATCCCTCCTGCTCAGCTCAGCCAGCAAGCCTCTAATCCGGATATCGCCACGCCAGACGCTGCCTTAGCGCACCAGGCCTCGGCCGGTCCCCATTTTTAGTACCGGAGTCACCGCAAGATGGTGTTGACTCCGGCATAATTAAGATAACATCTCCAAATCCATCTTTAATTTTCATCACAACCTTAGTCAATAACCATCCTATGCAGATCTTGGTGGATACCGGAGCCACCAATACTTTCGTCAACTATAACACGTTGCGTGCTCTTAATCCTAACCTTTCATTGAATAAATCTTCGTCGTCTTTTGTTCTTGCTGACGGTATAGCACCATTTCAAGTTTTAGGTACAGTGGACCTACAGATATTATTTGATGATCACCTCACCTTTATTACAGCATATGTTGCGCAAAACTTATGTACGGACGTCATCATCGGTATGGATTACATAACTTTTTATAACCTTAAATTTAACGTCCGTTCTCAACGCATTTCGATTGACCTCCAAGGTCGTCGACATCAAGTCCCTACTAATCCGAATGTTGAGACTACATTTATCCCAGTTTTTCTACATGAAGACACCTATCTCCCTCCTCGTTCATCTAGTTTTGCCAATGTATCAATCCCTATACCATCACTTAGCTCGATTTTCATTCCTCATTACCAATTTTTACTATCCAATACAGCCACCATACGGCACAAGTTCCTACAATTCTATGATCACCGCTCTCATATCACTTTCTATAATACTTCCTTTCGCACTCATTTCGTTCCGCGTGGAACTCAGATCGGCTATCTATGTCATCATTCCCCGCTAAAATCCGACCCCGTTCATAATAGTCCTTCGCATGTGTCATGTGGTGCCATCAATCTTTTTGGTGCTGTGCCAGATTCTCATGTCCATGATATCGCTATTTTGCCGAACAATAGTCTCTCTTCAGTACTTTCATGTGCACCTGTCAACTCGCTGTCTTCCTCTCTCAAGAGTAGTCTTCATCAACTCGTCAGCCATATCAACGTTCCGGAACAGCGCCACGCACTCCTTAACTTGCTTGGCGATTTTCATTCTCTCTTCGATACTAGTAAACATAATATCGCTAACACATCCATTCACCACGTTATCAACACAGTACCACATGCGCCTCCCGCAAGCCGACCATATACGCAGCCCGATACGGTTGAGGTTTTATACAACATGGTTCAAGAGTTCCTAGCGGCGAACTTAGTTGCCGAATCTCATTCCCCATATGCTGCACCTGCTTTTCTAGTTAAAAAGCATGACGGGACATATCGTTTTGTAGTGGACTATAAAAAATTGAATACGATTACTATCAAAGACTCCTCACCTTTGCCGAATATGGAAGCCACTATCATGAAACTAGGAGACGGTTACAAATATTTTTCGAAATTAGATCTTAAATCAGGCTTCTATCAGATTCCGATTCGAGAAGAAGATAAAGAAAAAACAGCTTTCATTACGCCTTTCGGCCTATTCCAATTTAACGTTCTTCCGATGGGACTCAAAAACTCCCCACCGACTTTTCAAAAAGTCATGTCTAATACATTGCAATTTTGTCGTCATTTTGCGCTTGTTTACCTTGACGATATAGTCGTTTTTTCTAAGACGTACGAAGATCATATGTTTCATCTAGCCCAAGTATTTTCTGCGATCCAAGAACGCAATTTAGTATTGAATCCCCCTAAATGTGAATTACTTGTGTCTCAAATCGACTATCTAGGTCATACAGTTAGCGCGACGACCATTACTCCATTGAAAGAGCGCATACACGTCATACTTGATATGAAAGAACCGCGTCTTCTCTCTCATGCCAATAAGTTTCTCGGTGCCCTTAGTTGGTACCGCAAATTTATACCTCATTTTGCCACGATCGCAGCTCCCATTCATGCGGTAACAAATTTAACCCGCAAGAACCGCCATAAGTTCCACTGGCGATTTGCCCAATCGCAAGCATTTCAGCAGTTGAAGCAATTGCTGGTTTCAGCGCCACTTTTTTTGCATTACCCCGTACCGAACGTTCCTCTCATTTTGACTACTGACGCTAGTAACATTGGTATCGGTGGAGTGCTACAACAGGAAGTTAATGGCGAATTACATAACCTATACTATCATTCACAAATGCTAACGCGCACTGAACAAAAATACAGTACTATCGAAAAGGAGGCACTTGCGATCTACAAATGTTTCGCCCGCATGCGACCTTTTCTCCTTGGACAACAGATCATTGTTATGACCGACCATTGTCCTCTATGTCATATTATGACTAAAACGATTAACAATGCGCGGGTAGATCGCATAACTACCCTAATTCAGGAATATAATATCGAGCAGGTAGTCCATATAAATGGTCGACACAACTGTTTACCTGACTACTTATCTCGTTATCCTCGCGAACAAACCGATGATCTATTTGATGTCGAGTATGGCCTTCCCAGCCACACTGCTCCATCACCGTCAGCATCCACTCACATTGTTGCTACCATGACCTTACGACCTCGCCTCAACGGCAAAGTAGTTTCACATCCCCCTCCATCCACTATAGATCGCAACACATCATCCAGCTATCATTCACCTCATCAACATACACAACACCTATCGCACACCAGTCATGTTAATTCCCCTTTTTCTACTAATACTTTCGATATTGTACAATTACAAACCGAACAACAGAGAGATCCCTATATTCAACAGCAAATCACACAGTTGTGTTCTAACTCCAACCCGACTTCCTTCTTCCTGAAGGAGAATCTTCTGTATAAATCGATTTGCCTCTCGCGTCGCGCGAAAACCAAAAAAGAAGTCCTATGTCTTCCACAATCAATGATTCTCTCCCTTCTCCAAGCGTGTCATGATGATCCGATGTCCGGTGGGCATTTCTCTCTTGATCGCACTTATCTGAAATTGAAACCACACTACTGGTGGCCAAATATGACCGATTCCATTAAACAATACATTCGGTCGTGTGCCTTATGCCAACAGTATAATGTCAGTCGACAGAAAAAACCTGGTCGTCTTCGTTGCGTTCCTCCTCCCGAGGGACCTTTTCAAACTATCGGTATTGATTATTGTGGACCACTTCCACGCACACCCCGTGAGAATCGCTATGTACTAGTCATCACTGATTACTTCAGTAGGCATGTAGTTGCAATACCTTTACCGAATTGTTCGGCGACCACTACAGCCGAAGCCTTGTTTAACGACTATTTCTGCAAATTCGGTATTCCTTGTCTAATTGTCAGCGACCAAGGGTCACATTTCCGTAACCAGCTAATGACTAATATGAGCTCCCTAATAGGCTATAATCACATCTACAGTACAGCATATCATCCGCAATCTAACGGCATTGTAGAACGTTTTAACAGCACTTTCATCCCGCAAATTTCCAAGTTACAGGATTGCGAACATAATAATTGGGATGAGTATCTACAGGCTGTTGTCTTCGCATATAATTCCGGTGTGCATAAAACAACTCAATATTCACCGTATGAATTACTTTATGGACGTCCACCACGACTTCCTTTCCATCCACCTCCGACTCATTTTTCATTCCCTTTTCCTTGCGATTATTTAGACCACCTTCACAAGACACTCAAGATATATCATAAGTCTGCTCGCTCCTATATCGTTCAGCAGCAAGGTCGCAATAAATCACGCTATGATACTAATCGTTCTGACCCCTATTACAATGTAGGCGATCGCGTTCTTACACGCGTTCATGGCATGAACAATAAGCTTGGTCCTCTCTTTTCACCATCCCCAAAAATCGTTGTACACACACTGCATCCCACATATGTGGTTCGTGATGAACAAACTCACAGTGACTTTCGCGTACACGTCAACGATTTACGACCTTTATGTCCGTTCTAACTCTGTTGTTACAATCACACTTCACTCTATTATTTCTAGTTATTAAGTTTCTATATAAGGCTTTCTCTTATTCTCTAATATTCTCCTTTACTGCAGTAGAGCTTCATTATACGACATCTATCTTTCATCGCTATACTTATCGTCTCCCCCTCATGAACATTACTAGTACTATAATTTCTCCATCTCATTCGTTTCTTCCTTCGCATGCGACACAATTGAACTATAATACATTTGTCTTAGTTCGTTTTCATACGATATGCGACCACATTTTCACAACACGTCCCATGATCGATCCTCCCCCTCAGCGGACCCAGACTATTTTTTTTCTCTCTCTATTTTCTTATCCTTCCTTTTCTACTATATACTAAATCGCTTCCATTTAGGTACCATTTCAATTGTTGTATTCATTCATTCCCCATAATATTTCGTTATGGCTACTTCCTCGTTCGCTGTACCCACATATCTTGCGCTCACCGACAGCCACGGTAAGTATACGCCCACCAACATCTCAACGTCGACATATTCCGTCGTCACGCGAGCCGTCTCAGGACTCCGGTGGTTCGATCCATATCGTGCAGATTTATCGGCACTGACTTTGTTATCGACACCTCCTCTCTCGTCCCAATTATCATCAACATCGGCTCTTTTATTCGTCATCGGCACCAATTCCATCCGATCCAATCCTGCCTCGGTCGTCGTTTCGGACATCAAGCGGGTTATCGATTCCGTCCGTACCGCTCATCCCCACTTATCAAGCAAGCATTCCATCAATATCGTTTGCTGCTTCCCATGCCTCAAACCCATCTACCCATTCAACACCACTCATTCATTACTCCACAACATCCACGAGTATAATTGCTCGCTTTTCGATCTCGCCGAAACCCTCAACTTCACCGTCCTCAACTTCGATGTGACACCTTCCCATCTCGGTTATGATCGCATGCATCTACACCACAATTATCAGAATCTAGTCCCCGATTCTATTAATAATTATTTCGCATATTTGTCGTCAATCCCGGCAACGCTGCCCTTCAAAGCCGTAGGTCGTTCTTCCGAAGCCGTCACTCGTCGTAATCACCAACGACATATCAAACGAACGACTCAACAACAACAGCACGTTCTGAAACGTCAAGTCTCCTCTCCTTGGCGCCTAGACACCATTAAGACGTTTCTGCAGGAGCAACATATCAAATTTGCTAAACTCCCCCCTATCTACCGAAACATCATCCGCATTCAATTCAACAACGCGGACGACCTTCAAGCGGCGGATCGTGTCTTGAGCCAAGCCGTATTTTCGTAACTCCGTGAGTTTTTTGTTTTTGTTTGTGTGTGTCTCTCCGTTTTGGCTCGTTTTTCTTCTTCTCTTCTCTCGCGTCGTTTATTTTTTCTGTCGACGTGTTTGTGTTGCTTAAGCTTGTCATGTTCTGGCCTCCAGTTCCTGGAGGTCGGAGGTGTTCGTGGCTCGTTTCTGTACAACCTTACACAGCAATGTTTGTGAACACCTTCTGTGTTTCTTTTCTTTGGCTCTCGGTCTCTTCCTGTGGTGGGCGGTGTTTCTTGTCCTAGCCGACAATAACATGCGGGCAGGAGTTTTCTTGAACATCACTTTTCCACCGGATTATGACTCCCGAGTCTCATTGTTGAAAATTCTGTTTCGTCTAACGCGCCTGTCTTTTGGTTTGGCGGTTCGCCCTTCGTTCCAGCCGCCATTAATCTGGCGGTAGGAGTCTTCGAGGTCGCTCTTCCCCCAAAAGATGAAGGTGTTAGCGATAACAGATAGTACATTGTTATCGCTATCTTTTTTTCTTTCTCTTCTTGTTTAGACCTATATGTCCTATGTGCGGTTCGATGCCATGATATATAGATCGTCTTCTCTCTCTCTCTGGTTTTCTCTCTATGCCGCCTGTCTGACCTCTCTTTGAACTTGTAAGATCAGACAGAGGCAGTTGTCTTTGAACTGTTATCGACGTCGGTCGTTCTCTTTTTCTTTCTCTCGTCGTTTATCAATAAACGTTGTTACGAAGATCTCGATCACGTCACTCATTCCTCGAACTCCGAAGTAGGACAACCACATACTAACGGAATCGATACAGATCATCAGCCTTTTCCGTTACCTTCCGTCCCGCCTATTAACGTCTAGTGGGCAGGAGTCTTTGGATTGTAGGGAAATAGCTAACAGTAAACCAACTCACATATCAAGTTACTGTCCAATTTATAGAAAATATTTTCTTATGATGAGGGTGGGCATAGCTACCGTGATAGGGATTTCGTCCTTGCTAAAGAATTCTTCAGATGTATTCGTTGCTTGTTCCCTCGACTGTAAAGAGGGTCTTATGAAATAAAATAGTTTGTTTGTTGAGGGTGAGGGTGGCAAAACGTCGGCGATGGTGGGCTACTGTGCGCTATGTGGCTGAAGTTGCGCGCTTGTGCGACCAGTGGTGGCGGAAGCTAGGAGATGTGGCCAATGGTGCTTGCTGGGTGGCACGGTGTGATCCCTCATGGCCACGGCTATGGGAGAGGGTCAAGGGCCAAGAGTGAAAGATTAAAAATAATTTTTCTCGAAATATTTACCATTTGAAGAGTAGTCTTTTCCGATCGAACCAATGGTCGGCGGAAGAGAATATTTATAGCGTCGAGATATGACTTGAGGCCTCAACTATGAATTTACTAACTCGATAATTTGGCTAAGCGAATACTGTATTGGAAACATGGACGAAGACTCGCCACATGGTCTCTTGAGAAAAAGTAGTTTGAATGGTATCTATCTGTGTCATGATTGAAGGCAAAAAACGACAGAAACGTCACGAATAGCGCCTGGCGATAGATGAGGCTGATTGATAATTCTCGCAAATCATAAAATGGATCGATAGCAATCACGTGATGTGAGGCTGTGAAATTAGATGTTTAGGATACATGAATAATGCATTGAATATCTTTTGTATAGTTCTAATGACAAGAGTACAATGGGAAGAAATTCAGCCAAGCGTTCAGCGAGAGTACGCGGCCAGCGTTACTGGTGATAAATTCATAATAAAAAAGACCTTTTATATCCTCACATTTGTTTTACAAAGACAATAATCTATTTTGTTTGCGAGAGTTAATAAATAGTCGAAAAGAAAAAGTTTCACCGTTTCATCGTACGCGAAGTTGCTAGATCGATTCGCCTCATTAATAGCACACGCAGACAGTATATCTGTCTTCCACATTTGAGGATGAAGTTAGTCGGCACAACGAACGCTACTTGTATGCAAAGATTAAAATACGGCTACCTGATGACGAAGACCCTTGAGAAAGGTCGAAACTATAGTCGTAGCGATCTCTCCTGGTTGAACACACCCCTCACACCCACCCACACCCTCGCCAACACCCTCACCCACACCCACACCCTGACCCACACCCTCTCACCCTCACACCCAGCATCATAGTTTTTTCCATATAATAAACCCCACCTATATGGTTTAGGTCATTTTTTCCCAATTTTGACGTTGTGATATTTTATCTATACGTAATCACCAAGTCCAGCTTTATATACGTTTATGAAGCACTCAGACCATAGATTTCAACCCTTAACAAATGATCGAATTGATGTCGTGCTTACACCCTTAAATTGTATGCAAGATTTCGCAAAAATGGTATATTTCGAGCTATATTGCTAGACATAAAATCTTACTAATAGATGACCGATTTCAATTAGATGTCGTACATATATCTGATATCTACCAAACGATATGGAAAACATTCCTTTAAAAATCGTCATTGTGAAATAGAATGATGCATATAGGGGCGCCCTACTAGTCTATAGTGGAAATAACCGTCTTGAGGCTGGGTGTGGGTATGGGGGTGGGTGTACAATAAAGAGATACCGAACCTCACCCTGCAGATGTATCCTAAAAGGAGCTAACGATGTTCAGAAAATACCCGAACCCGAACCTTTCCGAACTTTATACGATGCTTCCATAGTATGTTATATACCTCAAAAAAGATTTGAAGAAATAACTGAAAACTCGATACTGCTTGTGTTCAACAGATAATTCCCGCGCCTGAACTCTTACAGTCGGAGTCGAACCCGAATCCAAAAGCGAATCATTTGATCTGAGTTACAAACTGAGGTTCGGGTTCGATCCATGCCTACCTATTACTATCGCTCTTTTCTTTTAAATATCTGGTAAAGAATAAATAATAAAATTCTTGACAAACATCGGAGATAAGCTGTCGAGTTATCAGGAAAGATATAACTAAACAATGAAAACTTTTGGAAGTCAGCTACAACAACTCTTTATAAGATGATGTACTTGTGATGATTCTTCACAACTATCTTGATTTCAATTGATAAACCTACGTCGGCGAATCATCACCAAAGCTTACATGAGTAGAACACTTCAAGTTATAATAGCAAGAACGTTATACGGCTTCTACCTGATTCAAGTCGCTTTTGCATTAACCTGCCATCAGTGTAATAATGGAAAAAATGAAATTTTCAACGGAACTGTAACAGCGGACAATCTATCGCCACTAACCAATTGCACAGTTGTTAAAGCGACTGACGGACAACGACATTGCGCACTAGGGATTGGGTGGGTGAAAACAGAACGATCACTCATTCATGTTGGAGCTGCCTGGAAAAGGGAAGATGTTGTTGACACTGACCATGTTGAAACTGTTGCAGGAAACCTCGACGGACCGGTACCCACTGCCGCCATCACGCACTGGTTATACTATTTGTGCTCTACTGATGAATGTAATCGTGTGGATAGATTCAAATTGTTGTTACAATCTACGAAAGTCGAATTCGATGTCGATCGGATCGCCCAACTTTTGTACTCACCAAGACCGCAAAACGGGTCAACCTTAAATTGCTTGTTCTATTCAAATGCTACTGATACGTCGAGTGCATTATGCGCACGTCCTTCAGCTAATATTAGCGAGTGTAATTACTGTTCTCTCGATGTTAAACAAAATACATTGTGCACCGATTGTTTTATTAATCCGAATGTATCTCAATATCGCTTTGCTGACATAAGATACCATCTGTTAGGAAACAGAACTATTCAACAAACATTAGACATTGACTGTAATTTACCACAATGTAACACAATGGATTATGTGAGACGTGTCCAAGAAGCATACAAAATGTCGTTCGACTTCGACATGTTTTTGGGTTCAAACTCATCAGTATCAAATTTCATATCCACATTCCAATTGATTATTTGTTCTCTAATGTTAATATTCATTCTTTGAAGGTGAAACTTGAACATAACTAATTTTTCTTTTCATAAAGTGACTATAAGAACTATCTTTTAATTTTTCCGACAATGCATCACTAAAAATTAACTCTTAAAACGAACATTTTTCAGATACATTTATCGCGCATGATGTCAGCTGTCAACGGACGGCTCATAACTGTATTCCGTTTTGTTGCGCTATGAAAGACCATTCGTGTGAAATCTTTCTTCATTCTTTTCTTACCGATTCCAATAGGCACTACCAACATATTTTTTGGAAGAATTGAATGGTTCTTTTGCAACGCCTCAAAACGCGAGTTCTCAGCTATCGTTTAAATTTATGAGATCCAACTAAACTGAGTCACAATGGAGATTCAAAAATCTCTGATAATGCTCTTCTGTTTAAGATGTAAAAACAAGATCACAGGATTTAATGCCTTCTAGGTATATGAGTAAGGCAAGCTTAAATTTAAATTTTTAATTTCAAATGTAAATCATAGTTTTTTTAAATATGACTCCCTCGACTGTAGGGAGGGTCATATGAAATAAAATAGTTTGTTTCTGCCAAGGTCAAAGGTTAAATGCATATTATCGGATATTTTGATGATATTCATGGTTTTTCGTAAGGCGCATTTTAGAACTACCTCTGAGTCTATTAATCGCGTATTGTCCGAGATTTTTCAGAAACCAGATGATGCCTGTTCCCGATAGATCCATGAGTCCTCATATAACCTGCTGTGGGCAAACCGAACGGTCTCAGCCCGGCGTACAACCATAGCAACCTACAACTTTTATGCCGCGCATTTTAGAGGAATTCATAGGTCTTCAAGTGGTTCAATCACGCCGTATCGATGGTCCATATACAGCCATTTTTCGGGTCTTCATGTGTCCACATTGGACCCACTGTGGGTGAACCCTTACGTTGATATGTGCCTTATCATAGAGATAGCTACAGGTTCTTATACAGCGCAAATTCGGAGTACTCATAGATGTTCGAGTCGCACATATTTGTGCTATCCTCGGGCCCGTCAGTAGCCTATTTTCAGGGTATCCAAGAGCCCTAATGTCATCTACTGTGAGCATACCCATGGGTCTGCATCTGGAGTACTATTTTTGCACCCCTGTGTCGTTAACAAGCGCACTTTGTGCGCATCCATGGGTCATCAAGTCCTATGCTATGGAGATATCCTTAGGTTCTCGTGTCCTATACTATGGGGGTACCCATAGGTCCTTAAATCCTATATAGTGGGGGTATCCATGGATACCGAAGTCTGATATCGACAGGATCGTGTCTATGAATTTTCAGGTTCTTCACTATGCGAATTCCTAAGTAGCGTATTTTAAGGATAGCCTGGCGTCGTTAAGTCATGGCTGACTTAGAAAGTAATGGTTCATACTTAAACAAAAATCATATTGTTCGTCCGTACACAGATGCTGGGCTAGTTAGGATGACTAACGATACAGAAAACTAGTTTTTTCTTGCACAGTCGAGGGTGAAGTAAGTCGCAATGACGAACGTTACTTGTTTCTTTAGTGGTTGATAATGCAATATATATGATATTGAGGGTAAATGAGTAACTAATGCCATCACTCGTTTCGACAGTTTCACAGATCCGTCAGGTAGCTTGAATCTGATCAAATCGAGCTTAAAATAGTACTCAATTTTGCATGAAATATTCAAAACAAAGTAAAATTGAAATATCTATATTGGATTATATTATGAAAATAGCTCGTTTAATGTTAGATATAAATTTTTTGCCTATAATCAAAAGTATTAGAAATAAATTCGTGATGGAGCTATGGTTTCAGCACCCTAAATGCTTTTTGGTGCATCGGACTCAATATTAAAGTTACTTTTTTACTCCCCGCTCGGTAAGAATATTTTAACAATGCCTGGCGGCACATGATTCCTCTGCTCATATAAAACTTTATACAGTGCATAAGAGTCAAGGAAAATGTTTCTGAACATGGAAACTTTCACCACAGCTAGAACAGTTGCATGTCAAGACAGGTTCTTTTCGACTTATTCACATTTATGATTACTTTGTACAACCATTAAAGCTTCTTGTCAGCACATTACAACTTTTTAATTAGTAGATATTGTTTTTTTTCTGATACACAGTCATAAAAATGATCATATATGAAGATCTATCGAGAATAAAATGTCATCAGGAGAGATATTTTTTCTTAAAATATTTTAAAACTATATAAAACTTGCTACAAGTTTATGTTTCGCACAACTCTGACTTAGATTTGTACGTCTTGAGATAGATCATTGACTATTACTTCTTTTGGAACTGTTTCTGTTCTTTTTCTGATATCACACATTCTACACAGCTTAGAAAGTATCGAAAAACGAATAGATGGTTAGCACTTTGAGTAATATTTCATACATAACTGACTCGCACACACATATTAGTTTTGTGAAGAACGAAAGCAAAACTATTTTTCAAATTAACTTTTCTAATCCCTCGACGATCGTGATTTTGTTTCAGTAATTTGATTCTATTTTCGATAAAAATTTTTCATTTAGCTTCTCCTAACTTTGCTATATAAAGAAGCTTCACAATTATTCTTCTACACTAAAACATTGTCAACGATGTTCGTTTCTGTGTCTATCATCTATTTCATTGTCCTCCTGACCTTCGCAGATATTGTTGATGGACGATCAGTATGTACAGCTATAAAGTAATAGGGGTAGTATGACTTTTCCACTCTATTATTCACTAGCTGACAGTTCCTACTGAGACTGATCGTGTATTCATAAAAAATCGTGAGTTCTCCTCTTACAGACGTCTATTAACTCTTCATTTTCCTTTCCTTTGTATAGGCAATCTCTTCCGAGGAGACATCCTTCTTCATCCGGTAAGTTACATCCTCTTTTTTTCCATAAATTCATGCTTTTCAAGTAGCAGGCGACAAATCGAGCTCTTGCGACAACTCGGATAGGCGCGCCATGGCCAAATGGAATTATTCCATACACTTGGAAAAGCGAAACCTGTGATTCTGAAGGACAGAATTGTATTCGAACAGATATTCCTTCACATGGTGGGTCCACCTATTTTTTTCAATTCAACAAGAAGATAACTAACGAAAGACGGTTCTTTTTTTCTTGAAACATCGTAGACTCTTCGGAACAGGCGACCATTCTGTTGGCGATGCGAAGGATGGAAGAAACAACTGCTATCGATGGTAAACCGTGTATTCAATTTCGACCGAAATTACCATCGGATAATGCATACATTTCGATTTTCGATGGACAGGGATGTTGGGCTCATGTAAGTTTTACTCATTTATATCTGTGACCATTTTAAAATAAAGAGTTTTCTTCTAGCTTGGTCATCGTTTTAGAACTGAAACTCTTGTATCTCTGGGTGGTGGTTGTGTCTACCAGGGCCCTATCACGCATGAGCTGATGCATACGCTAGGTAAGTGACTTTTTTTCGCAGTTTGTTATACATCGAGTATAAATCTGCTTTTTTATTTTTTGAAGACTTTCTACATGAACACCAGAGACCAGATCGAGATCAATATATTCAGATTAATTGGGAAAATGTAGCCGAAAGTGAGTAAGATCTTTTACAGAAAAACAAATTCTTGTGTCTCTTGAATCTTGTAACTAAATAGACTCGGAGGACAGCTTTGCACTCCATACTGATATGTATGTGGAACGAAATACTCCGTACGATTACAACTCAATTACACACTATCCTTCATGGGCTTTTAGTAAAAACGGAGAGAAAACAATAGAAACAAAGCCACCAGGAAAATCTTTCGGTCAATATTACAATCTTAGTAACATTGATATTTTGTCGATCCGCAATCTCTACCAATGTTTCAACAAAGGTAAAGAGTTTCTAAGTATACTATACTGATCAACCATATACTCTAAAAAAAATATTTTTTTACGAAATCGATCACTGTAAAGCTAAACTATGAACATCTCAAAGGATAACAGTCTTGAACTGAAACAAACCAAAGTTAAACATTTCATGAAGTATTGCAATAAGATATAAGATTATGAAATCAGTATTCCTTTGAATAATCTTTGATTTTGTGATGTAGATATCTCTGACATTGTTTCTGGTGCCAGTTACAAATTAATGAATATTAATAGCAATAAGGTTCTCGATGTCTATCGTTTCGATGGGCACGATGGCGCGAATGTTCAGATTTTTACTGACAATGGTGGGCAAAATCAATGCTGGATCACTCAAAAAAATCAAGATGGTACTATCAAACTGATTGATTCAAATACTGGTATGGCGTTGGATGTGCATGGAGGTAATACTTCAGATGGTGCAAAGGTTCAAGTCTGGTCAGAGAATGAAACAAATGCACAAAAATGGCGTCCAATAAAAGTTGACAATGAATACTATAAACTGATTAATGTAGCATCTAATAAGGCTCTAAATGTTCATGGTGACGGAACAAGTGATGAAACAGATGTTGATAGTTGGTCGGATAATGGTACACCAGCACAACAGTGGCGATTTGTTCGATGCAACCTAGATGGTAAGTATTCTTTTCATCAAAAAGATCTCACGATGGCATCGTCTATCATTCAATATATAAAAACTGTCCTGAGAGTATGACAACTTTAGATTAAAACTAAAGATTAGTATTCCTTTTTATATTATTCCTGTAGAAAATCTTCAATTTTGTCACATAGGTACACTTCATATTGTTTCTGGTGGCAAGTACAAATTAGTAAACATTAACAGTAACAAGGCTCTCGATGTCAATGGATTCCAGACGGCCAATGGCGCTAATGTTGAGATTTATTCTGACAATGGTGGACAAAATCAATGTTGGATCATCTATAAAAATCAGGATGATACTGTCAAATTGATTGATTCAAACAGTGGCAAAGCATTGCATGTCAATGAAGATGATATTTCAGATGGTGCCAATACTCACATCTGGTCAAACAATGAATCAAATGCACAAAAATGGCGTCCAATAAAAGTTGACAATAAATATTATAAATTGATTAATGTAGCATCTAATAAGGCTCTAAATGTTCATGGTGGAGGAACAAATGATGGGACAAATGTTAATATTTGGTCTGAAAACGATACACCTACTCAACATTGGCGACTGATGGAATGTGGTCGTCAGTAGACAAAGTAAAATAACTGAACGAAAAGTGCTAAAGTTACTTTTCTATTTATTTTCTTGGGTGAAAGTATTTTTAACGAATATGATGGTACTATAATGATTGCTTTTTTATTTAATCGAATAAAAATAATCTAAACGAAAAAATAGTTAAATAACTAGTTATATCACGACCATTTTCTTTCCGAGATTTCTCTAAACTGGCCAATTGTTTTCATCATCGAGTTCCTCATCTGAAGAAATTGAATATGAAGATTTATTTTAGTCGAAAGTATGTTTAGTATTATACCTATATGAACTAATTTCCATCGACTGTTCAAATGCACGAACTATTTCGATGTATTGTCAGATGTCAATAGTTTATATACATTAATTCATTTGATTACAATCGTACGTACGTATACGGTCAATATTACATTCGACCTTGACCTACATTACAATCATAAATAACGCTCGTCGAGACGGACTCGCATTACACTCAAAAAAAGAAGGAGTTTTACCGAGCCTAAAAGGTTTCCTATACTTCGACTGAACAATTTTAAGTTCAGAAAAACGAAAAATGTTCCGTGCTTGAACTGCCGAACTATTTTAAGTTCCGTAGCGTCGAGAAGGTTCGGTAATTGGTAGCAAAAACCATCCACAGGTTTTTAATGCGGTATGCGAAACCATTCGTAGTTCTGTAACATGTCTACAGAACCANTTCTCACTAGTCGTCACTAATATCGATGCAAATCTATGGACGGAAAATTCTCAATAGCTTGACATTCAACTAGGTAAGTGATAATATTTAATAAACCACATTCTATCGTCTTTCTCGTTTAGAGTTGATCGCAATGGATCTACTGAACTGGCTAGAACCTATTTCTCACGTTCGTGTCACGATGAAAGGGGTGAACTACGTTTCGTACCACTCATTCCGAACACCCGCACCCTCACTTACGGACAACCTGCATTTTTGTTACGAGCACCATGTATTTTTCCTTCTGCCGGGAGTTCGGAAAAATAAAGTGGTACGAAACGTAATTTTCCCTTCGAAAGGTAGCTTTGAACGATATATTCTGTAGTGAGTGAATACGGAGCCTGTAGGAGGATAACTGTAAAGTAGTCTGTGACTAACGCAAGAGAACAACTAATGCAACGAAGGTTTCGCAGCTATGGATTTTTACGAAACGTTTTTTAATATAGTTACAGATGGTTCCGTGCGGTACCTATGATACGGAACCTTCATTTTACTTAACCAAAATAGGATCGTCCCGTGTATCGGAGGGAAGATCCTTTTGTTGGTTTGGTAAAACTCCTTTTTTTACAGTGTTCTCAACTGTAATTTGAGCCAGAATATTTTTTTGAAATTCCTACGAAATGACTTATCAAATTATCAGCTGGAAAGGGACTATGACGAGTATTTATAATAGTAGAATCCAAATTAATATAAATGATCTCAGCAAGAAAAACATAATGTTAGTCGTTCAGTCGAGGGTTCAGCGAGTCTGCCTCGACGAGCGTTACTTGTTAATTATTAAAATAAAAATTGATGAAAAGATTATTGACAACCGTTGAAAATGAAAACAATCAATAAAAACTGATGAGCTCCGTTGAATTGTTGTCATTGACATTATTGTCGAATTGAATAAACATGTTGTTAAAACTAAATCAAATCAAAATATAAAAGATTACAATAAATATCTCATATTTACTTGAACTTGCTGTGCGACTTGTTACTGTTGATGTTGGTTTAGTAGTCATCATTGTTGTTATACTTGTTACATTCACTGTGTAAATTAATCAAATATCTAATAAGTTTTATATTGAAATTGAAACTTACCACAAGAAAATGCAAATTTTTGAATTCGATTATTTCCAGTATCAGCAACAAAAATTGAATTATCTGGACCAAATTTAAAGTTATATGAAAAATATAATTGATTTGATGATGATCCAGATGAGTAAGTTCCAACGATAAGAACACCCATGTTTGATCCTACTTTCCATTTCATAATTGAATCAGTTCCAGAACTCAATATAAATAAATTTTGATTTTTATCTCCAATAACTGTTACTGGATAATAAAGTACACTCGGACCAATTCCATATGTTCCTGTTTGACCAGCTACTGTTGTACCATTCGTCGCTCCTGACATCCACATTTGAACTCGATGATTATATGTATCGGCAACATACAATGTATTTGAATCATCCGTATCAACAAACAATCCAAATGGAAGATAAAATTGATCGGAATTTGATCCATTACTTCCATAAAAAAATACACCTGTTGATGGAGATTCCCATCGAACAATTCGACTATTATATGTGTCAGCTATCCAAATAAATAATGTATTAACATCAATAAACATTCCATCAGGTGAATTTAATTGATTGGTAGCATTACCATATCCATTTCCACCAGCAACAACGGTTCCATTCATATTATCTAATGACCATTTGATTACACGAGCATTACCTGTATCGAGAATATAAATATTTCCATTTAAATCACCACTGATAGCAGCAGCTACAATTCATTAAAAAGAGAAGAAGAATATAAATATCTATTGAATATTATTTATTAGAAGTAAGATTTACAAGATATTGAGCGAGAATTGAATAATGGTCTAGCTGTAACATTTATAAATGTTGTTTCCAGAGTTAAATTGGAACCAAGACGTTGTATTCGACCACTGCCTGTATCTAATACATATAAGATATTATTTTTATCGACATAGATATCTCGAGGTGCATTTAAATATGTTGAATTAATCAATGTTGTTGCATTTGATGACCATTGTGATAATAAACAATCTTCATTGAATACAAAACATTTTGGAATAAAAACTCTAAATGCAAAGTATTTTCTTATCGAATGACTAGATGACATTAATCATAGCTTACATTATTATGTGGAGAACTATCAGATATTGTTGTCTCATATTTATCTAAAAGAATAATATTCAGTATGAAATAGATTTTATTATCATGTGAAAGAAAATGAAAAGTTAAAGAGAAAAAGTACATTATTATACTTGTGAAGAAACTTGAATAGACTTTTAAATTAATTGTGTATTTCTCATTAGAGCTATTTCTCATTAGAGCTATAAGAAATATGATGGAAAATGCATATTCCATAATGAATTAACTCATTTGACTAACAATAAATAAATTCAAATAAAATTCTCAAGTCGACATATCCCATACTCGGATCCCACGTCGGATCCGAAAGACGGATTTTATGGATTTTCTAAGGACCATCATAGAACATAGCTAAAAATAACGCTCATAAAATTTCCAACAAATAACTGGATTTTTCCAGTCAGAATCCGATTCAATTCCGTCACCAGGAATCCGATCGGATCCAACGTCGGATTGGTTGACCTGGGTTGAACTAGGATAGGATTAGCTTTAGTTTTTATTAAAACAGCTTCCTGAAAAATGTCATCTTCGTTTATCTAAATTGATTTACATTTGTCTTTCCCGTCTATAATCATAAAATCTCGAAGAAGAAAAGATCCCAATGTTTATTCAATGTCGTTTTCCTACCAACAAACTAATGTTCCATTGAGTACAAGAGAACGTCACTTAAAAATGAATTAGACTTTAAGTCATATCTTTCGATTTTCTATGGTGCATTCATTCTACTTTTTATTCGAATAAATCATAAATTTGTATATATAGAACCTTTTTACATATATAAGAGACCATATAGTTAGAACTGGACTATAGTTACAGAATTCAATCCACAAAATATTATGAAGTCGCCCTCAAGCTAAAAATATCGCTTCCTAGGGTAAATGTCATTGATAGAACATTCACGAAAACAGGGAATCTTGGGGGTGGGTGAGGGCGAAGGGGCGCATGAATATGAAGGATATGAGGTATGAAATGGCGTGAGAGTGACAAAGAGGTCTATCAATGAATGACTGGAGTCGAGAATAAATCGAAATGAAAGTGACAATTTTAATAATTTCTGATGCATAAAAAGATATGACCGAAATTGTGGTTTTGTGGGATGGATGGCGTGAAAGATAAGGACTACAAACGTTGAAATTTGAAGTATATTGACTTTGCTATCTGCTGCACCTTTTTAACGCGTGAGACGTTCGACATAGATATTCCTTATTTGTCACCGATAATGAGTAGAAAAAAAAACTCATATTTCTGTGAATTTATTGTAGAATACTCAAGCGAATGTTTACATAAAGCAGAAAAATGGCAAATGACGAAGAGAAAAATCAAGAGTATTTTTACTTGTATCGTCAGGCTGTGTATAGATGCAGTTTATTCATTATCTCAAGGCCTATTGGCCGTAGGCACCGGTTGTAACTTTGTGTCTTCTATGCAGAATATATTTCACAATCAAAATAGCAATTAATCGACAGATAATAACTAAGCCACCATAAAGGCCAATCAATGTTGTTGTTGCTTCGATGGCATGATTATTGTTCACATATGAATAAACACAGGATAATGGTGCACATGCATCAAAATACAATTCATAAGACATGTTGCTCGTTAATTTTTCAATCATCAGTTCGTTGACAATCGATTCAAATGTTGCATTTGATGAAAAACGACTTGACGTCAATGCAGAAATATTTCTTATTACAGTACCATCGAACAGTTGATCCAGACAGTTTTGGTTGTAAAAACATGCAAGTGTTGATTGTAAAATCGATTCTAACGGATAACAACCTGCGAACATTCCTTCTCCAGATGGAGAAACACATTTTGATGATACTGCACAACTACATCCATCATAATTTAATGGTATCTGATGCATAGTCCATCCATTAATGATTCCAGATGAAGTATCGAAGATCCAATTCGTAGATAACGTATTCGTTAACATATTCGCTCCTGTTATTTCCCGAATTAATGAAAGAGTATTGACAAATAATTCTGGCATGGTGAGTTGAAAATCATTGACCGTTCGTTGAATTTGATCATTGAATGCAGTTGATAATGAAAGTTGTGTGCTGATCAAATCACTTGTACCTAGTTCCACCAAGAAATTAAGAACTGTTTCTCGAGATAAATCACAAAACGAGGCAAGAAGTTGAAATTGTGCACTAGCCGAATAGAGAAAATCACTCGAAGGAACGATTCTTGTATAAGTATAATTATAGAAAAGTTCGGAACTAGTTAGCTTAGCAATCAAATTGCTTGAACAAATTGGATGGAAACTCGGTGTAATATTGAGGAATGTTTTATATTTAATTGAGATTTGTGAACAAGGACATTCAAGTGAATCAAATGATTGTTGAATTAAGTTTTCATATATAGATAATGATGGTTTTTGAATCTGAACAGTTGTTATTTGAGAAGTAAAAGCCGAATATGTATAGAGAATTGATAGAGTGGTCGCAACTAAAACTAAATGTAATCGATCAATCATCTGATGTTCAGTTCTACAGATGAATATATGCTTCATTGTTTGTAATAGGCTGGAATGAAAGAAATCATTTTGAATGATTAGATCAATAAAGTAAAGTCCAATGAGAATAATCAACTTCAACCCAAGTGACAAACCACCATAAATAAGACCGATATCACTGATAACGGCATAGAAAGCACTTCTGTCTTCATATTGATACGTACATAATGATGGTGCACATTGATTGTAATATGAAGTAAACGAAATATTTGATATCCAGTTATCCATCATTAATCGGTGGACGATCGTTTCAATAGTTTCATTCGGAACATTCAAATTTGCGTCGAGAAGAGAACAATTAAATGTTTCTGATGAAGATGAGAAAAAATCATTAATTTTCGATATACATGATATGTTATAAAAACATTCCAATGTTGATGCAAATAATGCTTCAATGAGATAACAACCGGCAAACAAATTCGGAATTAAATACGGTTCATTCGAAGAAGGCAAACTGATCGAGTGACGGCATGATGCAGATAGAGCACAGTTACATTCGGAATAGGCGAATGGTACTCTGATAATTTTGTTCTTGATTGCATCCCGATAGGTAACGGAATTGAGATTATTGGACAGTTGATTACCTTGTGTTGTAACACGAACTAACTGAATCGTTCTTATGAATGTATTGATCGTTGTTGATTTCCAATCTTCGATCGATGAATTGATTTGAAGTTCAAATGATTGTGGAGAAATAACTTGTGAACTAATAAATTTTGTTTGCAGAAAGATATCACTTGCTTCGTCAACAGTTTGTTTAGCTTGTTGACAAAACATTGATAATGAAAGGAACTGAGAAGGAGCAGTGGCTTGAAAATCGAAAGCGTTAAAGCCTTGTGTATTGTTAATTTGTCGTATATAATATATCCATTCTTTGGAAACCAAATAACTTGAGCATAATTGATGATAGTATGGCTGAAGGGTAATAAAGATCGAATAAAGCATTAAAATAGACGAACATGAACATGAAAGTGTACGAGAATATTCTTGTTGAAGTTCAATATATTGAGATTGGCTTGGATTATGAATAGTTTTTGACTGAATTGATATTTTTGTGGCGTTATAATGAATTATAATTGCCATTGAAATAATAATTAAAATGAAATAAAATCGTGTTGCGTAACGTTGATATTGAGTTTGTCGGTCAGTACTCGCATACTTCCGAAACATATTCAATTCAATTAATTTCTGCTGAATTAATACTTTCCATTGACGTAAATGAACACAGACTAAAAAATAAACCAATGAACAAAACGTTCTGTAATTATGATGTATTTAGTTCGATCATAACAATTTAGATTCTCTAAACTATCGATACATAGACAGATCTGTTTCGTATTGTTATGTATAAATTATAAAGAAAATCTTCTCAAATCCCATCAAAAACCTTTTGTTGATTTCATGAATACACACATACATATTTTGCGCCCGTCATGCTCTTTTGCTCAGTCGTGGCAAACTCATTCTTGCACTTTAGACCTGAATATTTGTTCTTTTTCGCATCTTTACGACATTGACATTTTATTGTGATTGCTCTCCTCAACATCTAATAATACGAGCAGGATCAAATAAACTGTTTTCATTACTCACATGAAGTTTTTGGTCTTGGTGTTTTATCTTGGAATCTTTGAATAAGTTGAATAGTAAGTGAAAACACTATGCCAAGAATAAGAACCAAACTAGCCAATAAACTGATCAGTTTTGTTAATATAAAAATAAAACTTCGTCGAGATATTTGAAAATAAGTACATAAAGATGGTGAACATTCAGAGTAATATTCCTCATAGGAAATATTGTTTGCCCAATCTTCTATCATAAGATTATTTACTATTGATTGGACTGTTGAATTTGGTTGATATAATGTTGACTTAAGTATATTCATGGCTTGAAAATTTTCATTTGTAGGAATATAAAACATAAGTCTGTCTAGACAGGTCTGATTGTAGAAACACTCGAGTGTGGATACAAGAAGCGTTTGTGTTGGCAAACAGCCTGATGATATTCCCGGTAAGATCCATAGGACATGTCCTATATCTATTTGATTTGATTCGGCAAATACATTGTGAATTGCTGACTGAGATGCATTACAAATATCGGCAGCACAAAAACATACAGGACCATCTATTTGATAATATCCATTTTGTATAATGACATACGATATAACACTGAATTGAACAGAAAATCGATAATAGAAATTGATCGACAAACCAGATGTTATTTCATTATTCATTGTCATCTGATGGATTAATCTTAGTTGAGAATTGAAAGTATTTGGTGCTCGTGATTGAAATTGATCTATTGATGATTGAGTTTGTGATTGAAAAACATTTTCGGGCAGAACTTCCGGACTTAATAATGACTTTAAACTAAAAAATGAAATACTTTGTTCACTATTCGATTTCGACAAACGACAAAATCCTGCCAGTGCTTGAAATTGAGCACTACCATATGTACGAAAGTCATAGGTGGAGAAATAAGTGGTATTCTCACCAAAATTAATTGCTTTAATCCACCGATCAGTAACAAAATCACTTGAACAAACTTGATGAAAAGTTGCTTGAAGTGAAGTAAATTTTCCATATGGAATCGAAATTTGTGAACAAGAACATTTAGTGTTCGGAGGAAGTTCTTCAAATTGTTCTGTTGTTGGATTCCGAATGAGAATTAATTGCGTTTGACCGACCAAAAATAAAAAAAGACCAGTACAAAAGAGTACCATTACAATGAATAAAATATAAACTCGTGTACAAATTATATTCAATCGAGTATGTTGTTGTTGTTGTTGTCCAGCTTTCTGTGCATGATTGTTATTAGATAATGAAAGGAGATTTAAATTAAGAAGATAACTCTTTATCGAAGACATTCTCTACAAGTTGATAAATGGAAAATAAATTTGTGCGCAGAAGCAGTGAACCTCTTTCTCCCAGTTTAAAAGTCTTATGATGTTTTTTGTTCTATATTATTGCTATTTTAAAAAGTCTGATATTGTTGAAATATAAATTTCCTGACAACCTATATAATAGTCATGGTTTTTCTAAGTGTTGTAGTGCTAGAAAAAAAGACAATTAACAAAAGAGTTGAATATGAAATACAAATTGAAAATCTTATTATTTTTTCTTTGAAGTTTTTCAAAAGGATATATCTATTTAACACCTTGAGCACGATGTCGCACACCAGTGGGCGACGCTATAGTCTAACGAGAAACTGTATAGAAGAACATTTTCTTCCGTAGTAGGAAATCAAAACTGAAATGACATCTTTTCAGGGTGTGGGTAGTCTGCAGAGTCATTGTCATTGTCACCTTCACTCTCATACCCACGCCCTCACCCTCAGACATTTGCGATGACCATCGTTAAGAATTCATTGATTTATAAAATGCCGCAATCTGATTGCATTAGACAAAAAAAAACTTTTAGCATTTCAATGATCAGATTTATGACGCTATAACCGTTTCTCTTAGAAACGAGAATACTTATTAATATTGCATGACAGTACATTCAGACCATGATCCAAAAAGAGACTCATGATTGTTGCAATGCTGCCGTTAATTTCCAATGCGATCAATTGTTCGCGTTGAAATTTTTCAGACTTATTCTCCCCATGTAAAAAAAGATGGAAAAAATCAGATTATAATTGATTGAATAACTGATTACGAATCGATTTAAATCATACACCTTTAATCGGTTTTTTCCCATTTTTAACTGATTTTAACCCATTCACCACGATGGGGTCCACCGGTGGACCCCACTTTGCATTTCATATTCTAATCTTGAAACACGTTTAATAAGAAAACCGTATAAACCATAAGACGCAGCGCGAAAAGCTCTACAATCCTCATAGTAAAGCTTACTTTAATTGTCTAACTTTTATTTTGAAAGAAAGTAAAACTCTGTCTGTCTTGTTTTATAGATTAGAAAAACATCATTTTTTCCCACACGAATGTGAAATTTCATTTTTCTTATTTCATCTTTTTATCATCTAATAGGACTTCGTAAGGAAAAAGAAAATATACCACAAGATGCAACGTGAAGCACTCTACAATCTACATCATAAAGCTTATTTTAATTGTGTACAAACTTCGGCGTAAAATACTATACTCTCCAAGCAACTTCAAAATTTGGTCGCACACAGCTTTGCATTTTATTGAACACAAAAAGTATTCAATTGAAATAGGTTTTATGGTATAGTTTGTAGAACTTTTCACGCTGCATCTTGTAGTATATTTTGTTTTCTAATAAAGCGTATTTAGAAATGTAATTTTCTATGAAAATTGAATCGTGGTGAATGGGTTAAGACGATACTATTCGTAATTTGATGCTGTCTCACGTTGGTGTTTGCATCTAAATTCATGAAATATTTCGTTTAGTAGATATTCATAAGATATGTTTAAATCGATGGAAGCTATAAACAACAACTAACGAAACAAATTGTATTTGACACAAAAAATCTACCATTCATCATTGTTTATACCGTCATTAGGATATTTATTTATTAAGAATCATTCATAAGTGCAGCTATACCTCTCTGAAAAAAAGATACTAACATTTTTCACGATCAGGACTAAAAATGAGATTTATCTTTGGTTGATCTGTGTCGTTTGATATTTCTGTCTGGCTGTTTTTCCATTGATCATATTTGTTTCTATGTTTATTTTTCAAATGTTTCAAGAAATTCGAAGTTGTTTTATAAATATCGCTAATTGATAAACGACAAAATTTACATTTCGCAGTCCATTTCTTTCTTTCAATACTGATCGATAAATTGGAAAAACAATCTTTGATAACAACAGGATAATCGTCAGTGATGATTGTAATGGTGGAATCACATTGCATTTGAGATTCAGTTGAATTAGTAGCCATCATAAACTCGAATTAATATAAATAAGACAAAAAAAGAATGATAGAGAATAAATATCTATAAAAGAAAAAGATCAATAGTAGGCAATAGTTACATTTGGAAACATTTGATTCAAATAAAGAAAAGAGGATAAACAAAATAAATAAAGCTATGTATCATTGAAGCACCAGTCATATAGTAGTAAATAAAATCATCTCGATTTTCAAAAGAAAATAAAAATGACCCAGAGGACAAAGAAATTACATCATGGTAGTTGACGCACAAGTTGTCTGCTAACTGTGTACTAAATATGTTTATACACGGTTAAAAACTAGATATACTGTTTGGTCAAAACACAAATAATCCAAATTTTGGTGATTTTTCTCAAATTTTACTTTATTTAATCTTTGAATACAAATACTGAAAATAGTACTCGAAATACTCGACGAGTACTTCGAGTATTTTGCCCATCTCTGAATCCTATATAAAATTAATTGATGAAATGATATACTTTTGTAGAAGAGAAGTCGATCTATCTTAGTATAATAAAATGTTTTTATATAAATAACTAAAAGGTAATATAGAAATAAATCAATTTCAATACGTTTTAAAATAATAATTATATTATTTAAATTTTAATAAACATTTTTTAAACGAAATTTACAAATATGTGAATTTATTTTTTGATGAGAATTTAAAAAATTATTATTTGCAAATTTAGTATTGGAATTTACTTTAAATAAAGGAGAAAAAAGTGAAGATAAATGATGAATATTTTAGATTCTCATAGTGCAAATATAAATAATTTAAT